ATCAGAAAATCACAGCACTCCAGTGTCCCCCACGTAAAGTTCTGAACATTTAAAAGGTTATCTTCAGATTTTTTTAGGCAAAAATTTCAATCTGTGAAGTCTCACGTTTGTTTTTCCAAATTAGGTAGCATAATGTATATTCTTACTTAACACCTTCATTTTAAGAGACTCATGAAAAAAAAAAATGAAATCCTCCGAGGTCGGGGCTGCGTCTGACCCAGCGCAGCACCCCCTACACTGAGCACTTAATAAAAACGGACTGACCATAGGAAAAGGTAATCCAATATCACCTCCACCCTTGCTGGCTGTGCATGGTAACAGCACACGTTCCCCAGTGCGCCCCTATCTACAAACACGTAAAACGCTTTCAATATCCTTGCCAAAATAAGTTCAGTTGTTTTCTGCCATTAGCCTTACCAATGGAAAACATTCAGTCTGAAAAGGGTCCAAATGAATGCCCTGGAGGAATAAAATTTTTACATTTCAAAATTACACCACTCTTCCTGTCGCGTGTACAGGCCCACATGAAGGGCACATGCCAACCGCTCAGCTTCCCCAGAACCCACTGCTTACCACCTCCAACAGCATCGCTCCGCTGCAGCACACGCTCCTCTCTGCACAGCTGGTCTTCTCCTGCGGCCCTCCCGGTCTAATCTCACACGACAGCTCAACACTTCTTAAACTTCCCTCCTCTGCTCAAAATCCTCCAGGGCTTCTGTCCTTCAGAGTAAGCCCTCATCCTCACATGGCCTCACCAGACCTGTCCTCCGTAGGCCCCAAAACTATGGCTGGTGGTCCACCACCTTTGTGTGCAGCCCACAGAGCTAAGAATAATTTTCATATTTTTAAATAGTTGAAATAAACTCAAAAGTAGAACAACATCCTGCGACATGAAAAAATTATATGGAATTCAAATCGCAGTGTCCTCGAATAAAGTTCTATTGGAACACAGCCAAGGGTCATCATTTCCGTACTCTGCAGGGCTGCTTCGCTCTCACCTTTGGTATGGCCTGCAATGCCCAAGATATTTTCTCTCTGGCTCTTTCAAGAAAGAGCTTGCAGACTCCTGCCCTGGAGCACTCACTGTATGTAAGGAATTACATTCTCCCCTCTGCACTGAAAATGGTACTAGTTATGTATCCATGGGAGCACTGAGAAAACAGTCACTCAAGTTATCTTCCAGTCCTCAGGTACAGATGAGAAAGACGACTAGTCACTAGCCCAGCCGGTGGCTCCCCAGCCGTCTCTGGAGCATGGCCAGCCCTCTCACTCCAAAACCTCTCACCTTCTTTCCTCTGGGCCCAGGATGCTTTTCCAAAATACCGCAGGCTTGCTTCCTCTCCTCCTTCAGCTCTTTGCTGGGATGTCACCTCCTAGGCGAGACCTTCCCTGACCCCCACTTAAAACTGCACTGCATTCCCACCGCCCCTTTCCTGTTCTTAACACAATGCCAACTGACCAAGCAACCAAGTACTCGACTGTTGACGACACAATGTGCGCTCTAGATTTGCCTATTTTGCTCACTGCTATATCCCTGGCACTCAGAACAGCACCTGGTAATACAGTAGTGGGTAAAAAAATTGAAGATAAATCTACACAAGCATACCCGTCCCATTAACAGCCATCATTGTGCATTGTGTCAGCACAATCAACAACACTAAGACAAATAAACCAGGCAATGGAATCTACTAGATGCCCAAGCAGAACAAACTGCAATTAATAAATTTATGGATTCCATCAGTCAGCCTTCAATGGAGAGCTTAAAAAACAAATGATGCCCACTCTCAAAGTGAGACAAGGTGGCTTTCACTTTGCCCCTCATAAAAATTCAATTCTGCAAATGCCTAGTGAGCATCATATATTATCATAAAGCTGGAAACACAAAGAAAAATAAGCCAGTTACTGCCCTCAAGAGCCTATCATGTAATCACAATAAAATTCATGTAATGAAAGGTGTCCATAAGGGGTCATAGGAACAACTACCTCCACCTAGAGGATGTGGGAAGAGTGAAGAGGGACTATCTGGGTCTGACCGTATTACAGAAAGGCTTTCCCAGCAAAATGCAAAATGGGCGCCCAGAGCAAGCCACCCATGGCGCGCTGAGCATCTGAAGCGCTAGAGAACAGCAAACAGTCACAAAAGGCAGTGTCTGGAGGTGTGGGTAGGAAAAGGTAATGGAGGTAAAGTGCAGCAGCTGGGGGACTTCTGTCCTCCTCCTGAAGGCGAAGGGCACACTGTAAAAAGGAGCGGAAACTTTATTCCGTAGGAAATGCAGACTCACTACTGATGATTTAGGCCTTCCCCTCTTGGGAGTTAGGGAGACAGAGTGGAAGTGTTGAGGAATACGACCCTGTGGAGCCATCCCAAAGGAAGAACTCTGAAAATTAAAGGGAAAATGAATTTTTTTTTTTTTTTGAAAAAAAACACCCTTTAGCAAACATTCATGCCAATACTCCTCTTTTTGCTGAGGAAGACTGGCCCTGGGCTAACATCCATGCCCATCTTCCTCCACTTTATATGGGACGCCGCCACAGCATGGCTGGACAAGTGGTGCATCAGTGCGCGCCCGGGATCGGAACTAGTGAACCCCAGGCCGCCACAGCGGAGCGCGAGCACTTAAACCGCTTGCGCCACCGGGCCGGCCCCAATGAATTCTATTTTGAGTAAAGGAAGCTAACTGTTGAAACTCTAAGAATGAAAATAACTCTGAGCTGGAAGGTACTTGAAGGACTAAAATTAAAAAATACCTTCATTTTCATGCAGAGGAACCGGAACTTGGCTCCTGAGGCTGATCACATAGAGACCTGAAAAAATCAGGTCTCCGTGGCTGGGCTTTTACAACTAAGAGATCCAAAACCCTTGCCTTTAGAAACCTGAAACTCCATCTGCCTTAAGCTCGGATCCATTTGTACGCATGGGTCAAGAACACCAGCCAGCAAACCACTGCTGTCACGGGGTCGGGGCATCCAGGGCTCCTAAGAGAGTACATGAGTCCGGCGGCTTCGGGTCTACCCAACGAAGGGGAAACAGGAATTCTAGGCAGGTACCATGGAAAGGACCCTGGCTTGGAATGAGGTTGCTGCAAGTGAGGAGACCCAGCTTGCAAAACGGGCCATGCCGGTGAGAGGCGACCAAGCATGCGGAGCAGGCTGGGCAGGTGAGGGGACCTAGTGTGCAGAGCGGGCTGGGCAGGTGATGGGACTCGGCCTGCAGAGCAGGCCAGGCAGGTGAGAGGAGACCAGGCGTGCAGAGCAGACCATGTAGGTAACAGGAGATCAGGCATGCAGAGCAGGCCGGTAGGTGAGAGGGGACCAGGCGTGCAGAGCAGGCCGGCAGGTGAGAGGGGACTGGGTATGCAGAGAGGGCTGGGCAGGTGACGGGACCAGGCCTGCAGAGCAGACCATGCAGACGAGAGGGGACCGGGCATGCAGAGCGGGCTGGGCAGGTGACGGGACCCGGCCTGCAGAGCAAGCCATGCAGGTGAGAGAGGACCAGGCATGCAGAGCAGGCCGGCAGCTGAGCGGCGCGGCGGGAGAGATTCATCCCCCCTCCAGGCCGCCATACCCGGCCTCCTCCCGATCACCGGTCCTGGCCCAGCGGCGCAGCCCAGAGCGCACGAGGCCCACCCCACCCTCGGGAAGGTCAGAGGGGGGCTAGATCAGCGCCGTCTCACCCAGACACACGAACAGCACCGACTTCGGCACCTGCTCAGCCATCTTCCCGCGCACAGCGGCGCGCACTCACCACATCCGGACTTTTCCGGGGCTGCGCATGCGCAGTGCAAACAGCCTGCCGCGCGCGCCTGCGCAGTCCCACCCAGAGTGAGCGTTTCAGTCTCGCGCCTGCGCAGTCGAGCTCCAGCGTGGCGGGCGGAAGGCGGGGTTAGAGTCACCAGGAAGGCGGGGGGAGGGGCCGTGGGGGCGGGGCCTGGAGTCACCTGGAGGGCGGGGGGTGGGTAGTGGCGGCCGGGGGGGGGCACCCGGAGGTCGGAGGGGGCAGTGGGGGCGCGCCCGGAAGTCACCTGGAGGGCGGTATGGGGGGGCAGTGGGGCGGGGCCGGGAGTCACCTGGAGGGCGGGGGCCAGTGGAAGCGCGGCCCAGGGTCATCCAGGGGGCAGGGGGCAGTGGGATCGCGCCCGGAAGTCACCTGGAGGGCGGTGGGGGGGCGGTCAGTGGGTGCGGGGCCGGGAGTCACCTGGAGGGCGGGGTGCAGTGGGGGCGCGCCGGGGCAAGGGGTTCACCCGGAGGGTGGGGGAGCAGTGGGGGCGTGCCTGGAAGTCACCTGGAGGGGGGACAGTGAGGGCTGGGCCGGGAGTCACCCCGGGGGACGGGGACAGTGGGGGCGGGGCCGGGAGTGACCTGGAGGGCGGGGGCGAGTGGGGGCGGGGCCGGGAGTCAACTGGACGGCAGGGGGACCAGTGGGGGACGGACTGAGGTCACGCGGCTCCGCGGAGTGAGCACCTGAGGGCGGGGCAGGGCGGCAGCCCGGGACCGGAGCACGTGGTGGGGGTGGGGGGCCTACACCGGTACTGGAGGGGCGGCGGCCGGGACGCGTCCAGAGAGTCCTAGGAGTGCGAGGGGCCCGCGGGGCCGGCTCAGGCCGCGCTCTCCTGGGGTTCAGGTGCACGGCCCCTCCGACACACCTGGGCCGCGCGGCCCCAACGTGAGGCCCGCCGTCAGGGGTGAGCCGGTCCGCACGGGGCAGGGGACCTCCCGGGACCCCGAGACCCAGGCCCGCCCCCCAGGGCCGCGAGGGAACCTCCGTGCACAACCGTCCGCTCTGCGGCGGCGCTGTGGGCCTGGGTCGTCCCGGTTCGGAAAGACGGGCAGCTTAGAAGCCGCCGCCCCGCGAGCTGCGTGGTCCTCGCCCCGCGAGTGTGCGTTCAGGCGGAGGCGGGCGTCGCCTGCGCCCTCACCTGTCGCAGGTGCGCCCTCGCGGGCCCCGCCCGCCCCGAGGCGGAGCCCAGCGGCGCGCCCTTCCTCTTCCCGGTGTGGTCCGAGCTCGAGGGCGCCGGCGGACCAGGCTCGGAACACGAGTGAGTACGGGTGTCGGTGACGCCGCCGCGCCTCACCTGGGGTCGCGCCAGCCCTCTCCTTCTCGAATTTGCTGGAGAGGGCGGGTCGTTGGCGCAGAGGGCGAGGGACCGGCGCCGTCCCGGGGTTCTGCTGTCGCGCGTCTGTGATCATTGTCGCCCAGCCCGTCCTCGAGCCGTCGGAGCTGAGACGACCCGCGTCCCTGGGCCCCCGCCCCGGCGGTTCGCTTCGGGTTCAGCCCCGGTCGTCTCAATTCACAGAAAAGCTCTGCCTGAGTTTTTTATTTAGCGACTGCAGTTAATCGTGTGATATTTGTAAAGATCTAACGTCCGAAAAGCCACGCGTCAGTGACTCTCTCTGGTCCCGGTGTGTCTCCATAAAGGAGCTTCCGCGGCTCTGCGGGCCGTGGGCTGTGCAGGCTGGCGGCCCACGGGCGGGGTCGCGCGGGCTCCCCGCTCCCCGGCCCTCCCTGCGATCGGCCGCAGCCCGGGTCCGCGGGGTCCAGCGGTCGCGGAGGGCAGCGCGCGCGCCTCCCCGGCGCTGGGAGCCCTGGACCCTGTGGGTCGCGTTCTCTGCTGGGTCTCCTTATTTAAAGAAGCGTGAAACTGCTCTGGATTGGCAGGTGGCCATAATGAAGTGAGGTTTACCCTGCTGTTACTGCCACTTCGTGTCCGCAAATGTTTCACTGTCGCCACTCTGCTGCGAAGGCGGAGTTGGAAAGAATGACACAGACACGGGACCCCTGCCCACAGGGAGTCGGAATCTGACGGGCCCAGAATGTCCCACCAGCAGGAGAGAAGGTTTTCATGTTTTCTTCTGCCTAGAACATGCATGTCCTGCGTTCTCGTTCTCGGGAGTGTTTTACTGCGGTGTGGGAGACGTCTGAGTTAATAATGAGTTAAGAGAATCTGCGCACATGCGCGTGAGAGAAACAGCAGGTCTGCGGGGTGCTGGTTCCCCTTCGTGCCGGGTGGCTGTGGGGTGTTTACAGTTACTATGCTGGAGGTTAAAATAATAAGAGTAAGTTATAACTTCCCTCCTGTTTATCATGTTTATGTTAAAGAGAATTGGTTATTTGGTTTACTAATGCTCTATTTAAACAAAATTTGTGTAAACTAAGTACTACCCCTCATCTTTTGCAAGATTTAAGAAAATAATTTAAAAGAAATCTTTGCTCATTAAGAGCGATTGGATGCTTTTATTACATTTAGGAAATTTTTATTCTCAGGAGATTTCTCACTATTTAGAAGTAAGGATGTGGTGTTCCAAAAAAAGAGGGAGTTGCTCCAGATCAGAGGGAACAGTTGCCGTCTCTGTTGCTGGACCGGCTGGTGGTCACAGAAACCCTTCCACACGTTGCCTTATCTGCAGATGCATCTGATAAGACATAATGCTGCGCAATTTAAGACCTGAGCACACTCAGTTTTTCATTTTCTCTGGGAAGAGTCCATTTTTTACACAAAATTATGAGACTAGGTGTGTGGTCCTGCTCTGAGCCAGGACCCTCGGGTTTGAGAAAAGGTACAGTGACTCTAAATCCAGGGTTTTCTTGTGCTGGAGGTTGGTTCTTCTCACTCCCTCCTCTCTGCCCACTTCAGCAGCCTGGGGTCAGGGGAACCCACGAGAAAAGAAGCACAGGCCACACCAGTGTTGGGGGTTCAAATGGGCAGTTTGGTGTAAAGTTTGGGTTAGGAAGGTTAATGATCTGACCTGGGACCATTCAGATTTCTAGAACTGACTGGCTTTGTCTCCTTAAGTCAAAGGAAGTAGTTAAACCATGGCCACAGAAAGATGAGAAGCCGTTCAAGAAACAATGGCCACAGTTATCAGGCGGTGGTGCTCAAGATGATCAGGTTCTAATAAAGTTCTGAGCTAAAGGCAATATTTCAACACCTTTTTAAAGATTGCACAGATATATAAAGTTTATTTTATATTCACTAAGATTTAATCAGTTTATTCTAAATATCTCCTTAGCAGCATTTTAGTTCCTTTGATTTTGGTTGGGATTTTATCAATTTAGTGGGCTAACCTCTATTTCATGTCAATTATAAACCTTAATAATTTGATTAATACCTAATTAATGGAAATTTGGAAAACCATTTCTAAACTTCTAAACTTTTCTCGTGGGTACCCCTCTCATAATCGAGAGTCCATTGAGGAAAATAATGGATGCTTGTTGATGGAAGGAAAGTTAGGACCCCTGAACTCTGGTGGTGAGGAGGTGGGCAACCCTTTGGGGGAGAGCAATGCTGGAAACCAGGCCGTCTCCACTCCCAGTGGGATTGCCCCTCCGTGACTCCAGTCCTCAGTTTATTGCCCATTGATCAATATGTAAATTATTTCCACGTCTTAAGTTCATTTCAAAGATTTCCCCAGTATTTTATAAACTCTTCTTAATTTTTTTTTAAATTGTCTTAGTATGGAAATTTTCAAATATTTTAATTACTTTTTAAAGAAAACTTTGCATCTAAGTTTCTTAGCTTGAGGTTTGGCAGCCATCCTCTTCTTAGGAGGAAACTCAAATATTTATAGAGAATTTGCTTTGCCTTGGAATTCAAGAGCCTTAAGATTTTTATGAATGTTCAGATGCTAACCAAGATTTAAAATTTAAGAGAGTTCTTTAGTAATGACCTGTATCTTTATAACTTCAGCAATATAATGGTATCAACATTCTGATCAGACCATGCTTTCTCTCCATACCTTATAATATAGCAGAGGAAAAGTGGGTGAGCTGTGATTTGATGCTGAGGACAGGAATTGAAGATTGTATCTCAATTGTTATTATTATTTGTTGGCTCTGACAGAGAAATTCACTATCTATAACTATGACCAGGCAATATGATTTTATCATATATTCAATAGAATCTGTACTATGAAAACAAATTAGCCAGGCTCTTCTGTAGTTCAGCTGAATAGGAAGGTGTCCTCAGCATGACCAGCCTTGTCAACACCCAGTTCGCAGAGACGCAGGGCTGTGTCCAGACAGAGCTCTGGCTCAGTGCTTGGAGCTCTGTGGTCTGCAGGCAGCCTAGGCTGCATCTGAACCCCCAAGTCCCATAGCTGTCCTTCCCATGTTTACAGAAGGGGCTGTGACCTCCTCCAGGGCCGGATGTTTGCAACAGCAGGTCTCAGCTGTGGAATTTGCTTATTTTACTGGCTTAATTCTGCTTGGTTGATAGAGTTCAAAGTAGAAAGTCTTTTGGGGGGTAAGATTTATGTATTATTTACTATGCTTTATTTGCACGTGTCAGAAAATCTGATCTGGCTTTGGCAGAAAAGGATTTTCCTGGTCCATGAGACTGAACAGTCCAGAGCTCCTTGTAGCTTTAGCTACAAGGCCCGGTCCTGGCTCCAGCAAGGCCAGGCTCTCTCTGCATGGCTCTGCTCTCAGGCTCTCCCCTTGGGTGATAAAAATCTTGCAGCAAGTCCAAACAGAAGTGCCTGGGAGAGGCAGTGCTGGCAGCTCCCACACCAGCCCCTGGTCAGATACTGATTGTGGATCCACTTTGGTTACGAAGCTCCACTGTGGCACGAGGAGATTGGTTCTAATGTTGCAGATTTGGGTCACCTGCCCCTCTCCAGGTGCAGCATCGATGGAAGCAGACAAACTGCTGATTCTGAAATAAAAGACACAGATGTTCAGCAGCAAAAGGAACAAATTTCCACTGCAGTTTACTAATTCACTTCAGCAGGATGTACTGAGATATGGGAACGAGGCACGGCAGGGGCACAGAGACTGGTAAAAGTGCTGCTTCTGGCTGTAAGGACTGCATTCAGTGGTGAAAAAAGGAGAGTACAAAGCAAGGAGGAAGAAAAGACACAAACCTGAGTGCCCGAAATATGAGAATTTTATTATGAGCCCCCATTTTCCATCAACTTTGGGTCTCTCTGGAGGCAATCCTTTTTCGGAGAGGGGGGAGTCTGTGCCATCACTGCCCACTCAGATTTGCTTTTGGTCTTCAGTTGTCATTGACCATGAAGACGCTGCTAAGTGGATTGTAGCATTAAGGAGCTCCTGACAGTCCAGCTCTCTGATGGAGCAACAGCCAGGTTTCCTCCTGCAGGCGGGCCGCTGGGCTGAAGGCGACTTGTGGGGTGAGCCGTACTTGGCACTGGGATGCGTGAGGCTCTTGGAGCAGCCTCCTTGCTGGTCTTGTTGCACTCAGATCTCCATAGCTTGTTTTTCCTCCCTTTCCTGGGAAGGACCTGGCAAGGACCTGTTTGGGGCGCTGTCCCATCCCCTTGTGACTTGCTTCCCTCTGACCCACCTCTCTCTCGAGGTCTGGGAAACTCGATTACTCAGCACATTCTCTTCCAAATTCATCGGATTTTCTATGTAAATGATCCTTTTCGAGTCCTCACAGGGATTAGGCCTTTAATTCTCCAAAGCCACACAAATACTTCATTCATTTAGCAAATATTTATTAGGCACTTAGTATATGTCAGTATGACATGTGTTGGAGATATTATAGTTAATAAAATACAGCAGTCAATGTGCTTATCCCATGATACTTCCATTCTAGTGAGGGAGACTGCAAGGAAGATCAGACAGACAGACAGATAGATAGGATAGATAGATATGGACAGATAGATAGATCTGACTGAGTGGTTGGTTGACTGATTGATAGAGTAGTGATATAGGCTATGGTGCAGACTAAATATGGGAAAACTTTGAAGGATGTAAGCAATGGAGTAATATTAACTGTGATATTACTTAGATGGAGCACTTCTGTGGAGAAATACCCATAGGGGTTCAAGACTGAGAGCAGAGAAGCCAGCGAGTAGGCTGTTGAATAGACACCGTGAGGACTGATTATTCTTTGGCCCAGGCAGGTGGCAGGGGAGGAGGAGAGATGTAATCAGATTCTGAGTATATGTTGAAGGTTTATACTCCAATAAGCTGTGCTGATGGATTGGCACAGGGCGTGAGAGAAATACAGAGGTCGCAGTCGGCCCAGGTTTTGAGCGTGCGCTCCCAGGTGATGAACCTACCTGGAGAGGA